TCGTTTTCCGGCTAATAAGTTTAAATCTCAACTCTACTAACACATATGGTATTGGTGAAAAAAAAAAGTAATAATAAATATGTATTTTTTTAATTTAACTATTTTAAGTATATAAAATATTTTTAATTTCCTAATTTTTGTGGGTATACAAAATTTTTAGAGAGCCTAGTTTTTTCCCATTTTATATGACAGTCATGTTAAAGCCAGTATAAGCTTTTTTTTTTTCCTACGACCGGCATAAGTGTGAACCGCCCTGGAACTACCGTAGGTATTGCTTCAGGGCGGATATAAGCCTACAGCCTTCCTAATAACGACTTAATATTTGCGGTTATACCTGATAAATTACTCTAATACTAATATTAATAAATTATTCTAATTACCATTAATTAGTACATAAACGAATTGTCAGTGATTTTCAAAATTATTATGGTAATCAGTTTTACAGAATATATTTTATAAAGAAAAAAATGTTAATAGATTTAAAAATTTTCTAAAATAAAATTGGTCCTTGAATTTGTGTGATTAGCATTAATCTTTTATATTAATTAAACTTGATAGTAAAGATCTCAGTGGTTAAATAACACCACTTAGGACGAACTTTTGAAAATGTTCATAGAGTCATGTCAAATTAACAAGAATTGAGCCAAAAATTGCTGTCGCTTAGAGGTTGATAGTTCAATATATAAAATCTAAGCTAGTTCAATAAACTTATGAGTAATAATTTGACGTCATGTAAATATTATACCTATGTGAATGTAAAAGAATATCTGTACGAAAACGTCATCTATTAGAAATCAAAATAATTATTACCCACTAATAAATAAACACTGTTCAATGTGTTTTAATATAAATATATGTCTATTCTGCTGATAATTATTTATACTATTTTATCTTTTCAGACGGACAATTGTGTGACCAACAAAAATATTATTCGATCATATGGGATGCGGATGTCAAATGGCGATAATCAACAAAAACTGTGCGAATCATTCGTCGTATACCCAAACCACAAATCTGTGCCTGTACAGGATATGGTTTACACTCGGGCAGCTAAACCGTACACAGAAATTGAAAGCATCGTGTGAAGACTAATATTTGAAAAGGTAAAAAGAGATTTATTTTTTCAAATGATCATAAAAAATAAATTTTGATTATAAATTTCCAGGTACTTAATTTAGATGTTAAGTCGCTTAGACCTATTTACCTTTTTTGATAAATTGACTAATAAGATTTTATTTCACTATTATCTTTTCTTAAATAACACACTTTAATAAACTACCTAAGTAATTAACTTTTTTATCCTGAGAAATATAAATATTCATAACAAACATAACGTATATGTACATTATATTTTACTTATCAAATTTTTCTACTTTTATTTTATTATTTATAAAATTCTAGATAGTCTTTTTTTTATTTGTAATCCTACTAACATTGAATCATACAACGTTTAAGGCTTTTTCAACTGTTGTATAGGTGAAAACTTTTTAAACGGCTTCAGTTAAACCTGTTAAAATTCTACGACTGCAGTTTAATGGTAACAGCTAATTACTTTTCTAGGGTTTTGTTCTACGGCTAATTAGTTTTCTGGGTTAACAGCGATTTATTTTTCCGAACGTCTGTATAGTCCCAAAGGAATCGAAGTATTATATAGTGTAGTTTCGTAAACACAATTTTAAAATTTATAGCAAACTAAGGTCTACTTTTATATTTATTTAATTTCTTAAATAATAAAACTACACTTACGTTTCTTTTAGATAAGAATGTCTACTATGAACTATTATGTGCAGCCAAATGATTCTGTTCAGAAGCGTTTTTATTGGTTCATAACTCATCGAAGTGAATCGTGACTGATAAATAAATAATTCTATCAAATAAGTCATAAGAAAGGAGTAAATTGAACAACAAAACATGAAAATATATTATTGTTATTGTTGTTATCTATTACCATATATAATATAATACAAATATTATGTAAAAGAATTTAAAATAAGCTTTATATTAATGAATTATTCGATACATCGTATAAACCGTATCAATAAACTTCATGTGCAGAGCACAGAGTAAGAACACAGCAATTCCATTATTATTATTTTTATTTCAAACTGAGAATAACGAATTTAAAATGTTGACATTTAACATTACTAACTGTATAATACATTTTTTGTGACAAATTGTAATTTTAAAAAGTAAATTAATAGTATAAAAATGAATGTGTCAAGTGTAAATCAATGTACTATCTTAAAATTTATTTATTGTTATTTTTTACTTTTTTATAAAAATATCATGTTCATAAATTGTTGAATAATAAGTTTTTAAATAATATCCTGTGATGATACTTAAAATGGAATTGTTTTTCCTTTTTTTCAAATGAACCTAGTTCGTTTTTTAACTGTGCTGATTCTTATGAACAATAAGACAAAAATCATAAATCGTATTTAGTTGAAGACATTTCCTCCATTAATTGAAAAAATTTCCCTTTTTTCCCTTTATAGGGAACATCTCCCAAAAAATTACACTTTTAAAATCAATAAATTTCTTGAACTTTTTTACTTTAAACTGACATTAATTTTTGAAAAATGGTTGAATCAAAAAAAATATTTTTTTTATAAATACTTAAGATATTTCCCTATAATTTGGTATATTTTATTGATAATAATCAATCTGGCCCTTTACAAAATGGAAACTTTTTCAACTTAATTTTTGAAAATTTTCCGGAAATTTTAAATTATAACTTGTGCAATGTACTTTAATTTGCAAAAAAATTGATTTCTGGACTAGTCTTTGTTGCGAGATGGCTACTGTATTCAAAAATATGTTATTTTCTCAAATTTATACAGATATAACTTTTTAAAAAATGTACATACAAATTTTATTTATAAATATTTTATACATGCCCCTTTCCTTTGATATACATTTTTAGCTTCGATATGAAGTTAAGAAGGTATTGGTCTTGTAATGGTATCTGTCTTTTTTCATGACTGTCTATACAAATTTTTAGCCATCACTGTATTTTAATTATCAATACATCAAGTTAAACCGTTTTAAATATAGCTAAACTTATAGTCGCCAAAAATTTAAAAAAAGCTTCTCAATTTTAGAAATTAAGACAAATATTTCAAAATTACACGTTACCGCCATAAAAATATAACTGCTATAGATTTCATAAAATACGCTGATCATAATGAAATTTTAATAAGATATACGATTATAATATTCTTCCTTTTGATACCATAAATCGGAGTTACTTTAATAATTTTTATATGTTTTCTTAGATTATTTTATTTATAACTAATGTTTAGGTAAATAAATATTTATTTAATTAGCTCAAAAAACAAATTGCTTTCATGATGATTGAAAAATATACATTTTTTTAATTTTTACATTCAATTATCTTAAGTTAAATGTACCTTCCAATATAAGACTGCATTTTAGGTTACTTTGAAACCTCATAATTTTATTCGTTTATCATATTGTATAACAATAAAATTATCATAGTTGGCAAAAATAATTTTTTTTGATAATTATTTTTAAACTATTTCAGTGTTATTAAAATGAGGTTACTTTAATACCATATTTTTTTTCCATAAAACTAATGATTTAAAAGTATAATTTTAATTAATGACGGTTCGTGGGTACTGGTGGTGGGGGTGCGACTTTAAACATAATACCGCTAGCCAAAGGTATAAAAAATTGTCAAATTAAATATAATAAAAGGTCACAGTAGAAAATTGAAATGAAAATAATAATAATTGCAATTAAACTATTATTGCAACCGATAACGACAAGTGTACACGTAGTTAATTCTAAAAATACCCAATATAGTGATATACTAATATTTTACCGTATGAACGACGCTGCTTGTAGTCCAAACATTGCTCGTGTGTGTATGCGTACTCATATATACTGAGGAAAACAACTTTAATGTTGTCGCGCACGACAAATATATTACAACTATTTTACTATTTAAAAATTTGCATTTTTAATAAAAATGTAAAATTTAGAATATACAATTAATTTTCTTCTTTAAATTAATTTTAGTAGGGGTGCGATTATTCCGTCGTTCAAGCCACGAGGCGCCACTGATTTTAATACAACTAGATATAACTTGTTACATAACTGAAAATTTTTAATTTAAATAACATAGTTTAGGAGCAATAATTATTATACTACATTAAAAATATTTAAATCACAATACCAATTTAATGATTAATTTTATTAAAACTTATACTCAGTTCATTTTCTGGAAGTTCTGCTTAATATAATTAATAAAACATTTGTGAAGTTCACAAATGTTTTATTAATTATATTTTTTTTTTACATCAGCAAGATACAAACATTTATTTATCACTCGCTTTTCAAATTTTACATTCACTAAAATAAATTTTCCAATTTTAATAATATGTTTACTTGGCTGTTGATATTCAGGAATAGATTCATGATAACTATCAAAAAGTGTGTAAAACAGTTATCACAGTAACCCCATGTTAGATATTAAAATAGCCCCATACCAAAATAGTACTTAAATTTCGTTATAATTAAAACGAAAAAAAATTTAACAATCAAGTTAATTAGCAGTGACCCTCTAAACTTCCTTACATGACTAAAATATTCATATATTATTTTTTACTTGCTTTGCGCAAGATTTAATTTCTGTTATAAGATTATGTGAATGTAACACTAATATTAATAACAATGAAGAAAATAGAAAAATTGTAGTAAAATGTTATTAACGAACAATTTTGATTTCTTGACCAATTGCGCCAGATAATATAGTATTAAAAAAGGCATTTTATATACGTTATCAACAAATTATACCTATGTTAAGATAAAAATTATCAATTATAATTTTTATTATCATTAGTTACTTATTGGCTACTTTGATAATTATTAAAGTAGCCCCTTATTATCAAATTTACCCAAATTTAAGATATGTTTGATTATGAAAATCCAATAAAAATCAAGTAAAGAGAGGTTTTGAGAAAAAGACTACCCACACACGTTAACATTTTTAGGAGTATACAATTAGTTTTTATACTGAAAAAAGCAGAAAAATCACTGTTCCACAAAATGAAACATTTATTTAATCATCAGAAACGAAAATATACTTCAGTTTATTTCAGAAGATTTTTTAATATTAAGTCTCTCATTTTTCCACCCTCACAATTAACTGCACCAAAAACCCAGCGTCTGAGTTAGATATACATCTCTTTTTTGTTACTTTTGGATGTTGAAATATCTTGAAATCGTCTCCGATTTTTCCACTAAGGTTTCTTTTTTTGTCGCGTTAGATCAATTTGTAACGAGTCATGGAATTCCTGATGAAATTTATTCTGATTTTGAGACGACATAGTTGATGCTGCGCGTCAACTTAAATACTTGTTCCACGAAACTGAAACAACAAATTGGTAACTAGTCGTTTTCCATGTAATTAAAATAACCCCTCATTTTGGTGGTATGTAGAAAGTAGGTTTTAAAAGCGCTGTATTTTTGATAATTAATATATATTTCTTTAATTAAATTCAAATTTTTTAACTTCTTTCTTTTTTTTTTTTAACTTCAAACTCTTATAACATATAAATTTTTTTAGAAGTCAAAAAAATTTTAAATATTAGTATGTGCGACTCTGGAAGAAATCGAATATTACTTAATACCTAAGGAGAAACTCTATTTAAAAGGAAACGTGGTACAAACACACACATATTTTGGCTTAATATGAAAAAATTTGATCCGATTTTAGTAAAACTGAATTTACAGTAGATGTTATAATTTTATTTAGGCGTCACACTCTTATCCGTTAAATATATTTAAATAAATATATTTCTATAAATATCATAATAAAATATACATAAATAATCTTGATAGTTAAAAAACTGCTCAAACATAAAGGTACTACAAATGTTTATTGCTAAAATAAATGTATACATACATTAAAATAGATTGAAGTAAATATTACAGCAAACATTGTTTGATCAAAAAAAGTATGACATCACAATGAAAATAAATTTAAAAAAAAAACCATATAAGTTAAACTTAAAAAAAAATTAAATGTACTATAAACATTTGAATTCTACCTAAATAAGTTTCTTGTTAAATAACTTTAAATTATAATGACGCTTAAAACCACGTTGTTATTTTCATTAGTGTTAATTAATATTTATCATCTGGCAACTTGCGATCATTCAAAAATCATTGATATCCTCAATTCACTTCTCGAACCAAGTAAATGGTCAAACGAACAAAATTTCTGTTTAAAATTGGGTGATGAAAACTCTTATATAATGAAAAATGATTTTTTCAATGAAGAACCATTAAAAAAGAACGACAAAAACGAAAATAAAGTAATAGAAAAGCTATTAAAAACATCCATATTATTAAACTGCGTTTATGCAACAAAAATTTCATACCTCGTAGATAATTTAGATGGTATTAATAATAAATGCATGAAAATACATGATAAAAAAGAAGTAGAGAATGCGAATTGTTACTTCGAAATTTTTAATTGGAATCTTGCGAAAGTAATATTCATGTCGACTATTTTTAATAGCGCATTAGATTTTCTTGATAATTTGTTACCGAACGTGACAATAATAAATTTTCAACGAGAAATATTGAAAGAATTAAAAAAATTAGAGACTGTGTCGTTAAATAATGCTAATAATGTCTCTATCAAGTTTTCAAATAATAATCAAATATTTATTTCATTGTTTAATATAACTGAAAACTACTTAGAAAATTATTGCTATCCTATAGTCATTACAAGGGATTATAATGAGAATATATCGAATGTGGAAAACACTGAACAAAAACAAAAAAATATAATAGTTTCAAAAAAGTATGATTCAGACTTAAAATGCATATGGATTTTAGAAGAAAAGTTAAAAAAGAATTTCAAACAAATGTTTCAGGAAAATTATTTATCTTTAGGTTTTACCTTTGTAAAGTCTTTAAACAAAACTGACTATTTCTTGAATTCATAAATATTATCTAGAAGTCTTTAGAATACATAATTATGAATTATAGCTATTTACTAATTAATATTATAAAGTCTTACTTAGCATATTATGTATAGATCCTTGTACACAATTATTTTCCAAATTTAACCATAACATTAACATTTTAAGAATTACATATTAAGGAGACAATTGATTTTTTTTTAATATCAAATAGAATTTTTTTTTTTTTAAAGAATATTGACATTTGAATTATCATGTAGTTATTAAAAAAGCTTAAGGTCAATACATGTTCGTTGTACTACGTATACAGTTTATAAATTTTACATGTATGATGTTGTATTGATATTTCGTTTAATAAACTTAAATTTGCGATAAATAATTTTTTTTGAATGACAGCAAAATTAAAAACTGATATGCACTTTGAGTAAAATTTACATTTTCCGAATAGAATAAAATTTTACCATGAATTAAAATCAGAAAAAATTTTTAGGACGAGAGTAGTTTTAATAGGATTATCTGTAAAAACAGCTTGAAGTCAACTGATTGCCATATAAGCTCTAAGAGTTTATAGTAAGCTTTCTAAATTATTTATTTAGTCAATAAAACTCTATAAAGGTCTAAAATGAATACTAATTCATAATTAAAATTAGTTGTGTGTTCACTTAGATTCCAAAAAATATGGAATAGAAATTATATTATTTTAATATTAAAAAAATTTAAGTAAATACATAACTTTAGTATTTCTTTATTCATTAAACAATTTTAGTAATAGATGGTACAATTATTTAAGTTGAAATTTATATTTAATTTGTACTTGAAATATTTCATGAAAAGTTTCAGTGAAGTATTTTAATTTATTTTGTTTCATGAAATTTTAAATCATTACTTGTAAACAATGTGAAAAATTGTTATCTGAAATATTTGCAATTAATGACACATTATAATGAATATCTAAACAATGAAGTTAGAGAGGACGATCACCTCTTTCTCAATGGTTATAAGTGACACGGTACTCAGTCGCACATCACGTTATCAACCTAAATGGAAGTGCAGGTTTTGATTCAGAAGTGAACGGTGGTATGAGGTAAAAATGGATTGTTTACACGGGTGGCGGGTTCTAATCTCGTAGCGTGTATTTTTTCACATGATTTCCTATACACTTTCGATGACCGGCCGTGGTCTTTAGTTAATAGATAATCCGTTGATCCAATGCAGACTTACGTCCAGTTTTAATTCATGATATATAGTTATTGTAACAAAAATCAACAAATTACAACAATTTTACACATCCACAAAATTTCTCAACAAAAAGATCAATTTTCAAAAATACATACATCTATAAATATTAAGATTTAACTACCCAATAAAAAAATTACATATTACTAGTATAATCATTTAAAGATTTTTAAAATATAATGTAGAAAAATTGGATTCTTTTCACATTTAAAGTGTGTACAATAAAATGAATTAATTTTACAATAAACATACTAAAACTGATCGTAATATACAGATCTACAGACAATATAGCGTTTTAAGCTTTAAAAGTGGCCTACATATTGAAATTTTGACCTACATTTCAACCGGATATACACGATCACTCTTACAATGACCCCGTTGATAAATGTCATATATTTCAATTAAACTATTCCCAATAACCTGTTGAGAGAAATTAGTATTTTATATATTCAAATATTTTATCATGCTCAAAAGTAAAAACGTAATTGGTCTTTCACAAACACCGCAGTTCTTGCAGCTTAGTCTCCGTTATTTATATTGATCTTTGCTCTTAAATGGTCCCTATCATTTATCTTTAAGACCGCATGACGCTAGTGTTGATCATAACAATACAAAATATATTCATATAGAAGACATATAGTCTGTGATAACAATCACCGTTAATGTGGTAGTACGTTGCTCTCAGTTATCAGTTTTACTAGAGTTGTTGGTTATTAAACTGTTAAGGTAAACAAAACTATTTTAGACTGTTATTTCTTGTATGTTCTTACACAATTATTTATATATTTTAGGATATCTGTTTCATCAAGGTATTAGAACTATAATGGTAGCTGACAATGTAAATGGTGGTAACACATATACTCCAACTGTCGTGGCACAAATCCGATATTTATTGCAATGGTTTGGCGAATGGAGCGAAATGGAACGTAGTGACTTCTTACCCGTTCTTGTGCATGAATTTGGGAACAATAATAGTTCTGTCAATGGTCTTTTACCACTTCTGGAAAGCTTGTGCAAGGAAGATAGTCGTCCACTGAGTTTGTTTAAGTGCCGTATTAAACTATTCACTGAGTGGGTACAAACATGGTCAGATAGTGACAAAGAAAATTTCTTGAATGGGATCCGATCAATGGATTTAGATTTTGCTCAATTATATGAACAAAAAGCAATCACAAATGAAATTAATAATAAAGAGTATTGTAATGGTATTAATGGTGACCATAATTCTGAAGAAGAATTGATTGAATAAAAACTCTGATGTGCCGTGTAAACATTCTGTGATTTCATATGTACTTAATTTAAGTTTATCAAAACAAATGTATTTTTAAAGACTTATTCTTAGATTCAAATATTATTTTAACTTAGCGAATTACAAATTAAGTTAATGAGCTAATATTGCATGTACCTTAGTATCTAACAAACATCATATAACGTTTTTAATTTTTCCTTCATAAAACTTTTAAATTAGCTTCAACTTATCTTTTTATTTTTGAACATAATAATTTAAAAAAATTTAATACTGGCTTTATAATTATGTTTTATCAGTTTTTAACATTTATTTTTAATGGTTAATTTATATTTCATTTAATTCATGTTTAACTAAATGTCGTCTTCTATGTTGATAATAATATCCAGTGCTTAGAACTTTATGCATTTATAAAATTTATTTAAACCATTTCTGAGACGCTCAACTCAGTGAAAAATTATTTTGAGTGCTTATAGTACCACAGGATTATATTTTATTCTAGGGGAGAGTGATCTCCCTACATCTTCTAAAACTAAATTTTAATTAATATACATTATTTAATGTTAAAAAAACTAACATGAATATCTATTGTTAATCTACTCAAGATGATTAATATAAGCTTTATAAGTACATAAAGATCCAAGCCCTGTTAGTAACAATTTGTTTAAAAGCAACTAAGATAATTGAACAAGAACATTCCCTAGAAATTAAAGTTATTAATTTTAATGGTTTAATTTAAATACTTTTCATAAATAAAAGTATATGATTAACGTACACTATTCTATTCCTTAATTAATTATGACATGTACACATTTACTTATTTTTTATAACCCATGGTTTTAAATCATTTTTTATATAATTTATTAATATAAGTAACATAACAGTATTTTATATTTTAATTAAAATTTGAAAAATATTTATATTTATAGTTAAATTTAAGATAATTATTTATATTGTGCAATATTTATAGACATTTTTTTTTACATTTATTAAGTTATAATATACTTTGTTATAAAATGATTATTTTATTTATCTTTGATAAAAGTATATTATATTAAATAAATTTATTCCAGTTTAATTAAGAAATAATTGATTTTAAAATGTTTGTATTTACAACTAAATTAATTGACTGAATTTTTTGTATTTAGATAAATACATACTAAACACACAATAAATAATGAATAACGTTTTTTTATTCTTTACTCAAAATATTTATTAAATATATTTAAGGATAAGTAGTATTGGTACTTTAAGTGAGAATCCAGAAAAATATTTTGGAAGTAGTCATTTTATTAAATTTGTCCACAAGACTGTTTTTTTATAACTTAAAATTTGGAGCAAATGATTAAAAGAAAAACAGTCTATAGTTAAAATAATTAGAATGATACAGCTATATGATTCTCAATATATCAAATAATTATATTTATTTCGGAGGGGTCATGATAACCATGGATTCACTGATTCCACTACTGTACTATATTATATATATGTCTGAAACAATAATTTGAGGCATTGAATTTAGCAAAAGAAATTTTTTATATTTTACTTTGAATTTATTTAAAAAAATAATTCAGTGTTATGTTTTTATTTGTACTAAATATTTTTTAAGACATCTTGCCTAGGATATTGTACTTTTTAGTATTTATAAATATTCAATATTTCTGTTTGATTTGTTAATTGTTTAAATAGTTTAATAACCTAATCTCATAATAAACACTATTTACTAAATATAATATAATAAACACCACATAAAATACTATCGAAATAACTAATTAGGAATTAATAAACTATTGAAAAATGAAAAACCATAAAATTCATTCAGAAATACTACACGTTTGGTTATCAAACTTGTAGCGTATCAGCTGTTCTCACATATCTAATCTAAGCTTCATTAATCATTGTTAATTATAATGTTATGCAATGAATTAATAAGCTAAAAAAAAATTATACAGTTCAAAGATCGTAATTTTTTAGAACTCTTGTTAAAAATTTTTAATTTTTTCGTTATCATGTAATATTTAACTTCATAAATGTTCATTAATAATTTATTCACTCATGCCAGTAAAACTTTCTTTAAATTAACTTAAGATTAAACTTATTTCCAACTGGAATAATTTTTTTTAAAATTTACATCAAGTTTAAAAGTTATAAGCCTGTTAACCATGGAGCATATACTACATGGTCCTGTTATTCCTAAACATATCTTGGACAGCAAAACAAATTTAAGTCAGTACTTTATTAGAACATTGAGTGAACATGGAGACAAAGTTGCTATGGTATATGATTGTTTTATTAATTCTAAATAAGTATTTACATATTAATAAAAACAATAAGTATTTTAAATTCTCATATTATTCATATATGGACTTAATATATATAAAAAAAAAAAAAAAATTATTAAACTTCTAGTGCTAAACAATTTTCCTACCCAATATCTCTTGTCTATAATATCTTAATCCTTAAAATTTTTAAATGATATTAATAAAACTGTTGCGATAATATTGATATGATTAATGTATATAATTGATTGTATTGATTCATTAATTATAAATATGTAGAAATATAATTATACATAATCAAATAAGCTAGCTGCTAAAACTTAAGAACAAATAAAAAAATAAATTAAAATTTGGAAATTAATATAATTACTTATTGCTTGTGTATTAAATAAATATACAAAAGTCACATTGGGTTAATCATTCAGGGTGATAATTTTATAATTATTTAAAAATTAGATCATCAAAAAAATTGAATGAGGGTCTAGGGAGACAAAAAACATTAGACTAAACTTGGTTAGATTGACATTACAGTATAATCAAAATATTAGATTGGTAAATTAAAAAATGTAGTTTATAAATTAATTTAATTTAAAGTTCGATCAACTTCTCTTTTATGGTACCATAGCACTTCGTAATTTTTAAATTCCAATGTTGTATTTACATTAAATTATACATTTTCATTGTAAAAATTATTTTTATCACAAAATTGAAAATGTTTTTAAATACTATATTAACATCTTGATGGTATCACATAAAACATAATTTAGTAATAAATTTATAAAATTTTAAATGAATTTTGACATTTTTAATTTTATTATTAAATTTATTTATTGTACTTTTTTTTTTTAATTTTTTTAGGTTGATGTCCATGATAATACCAAAATTACATTTAATGATATTCTTAATACAAGTTTAAATGTAGCTAGATGGTTAAAATATGAGTGTGGTATTCAAAAATCTGATGTTGTTGGATTATTTATTGAAAACACAGTTTGGTATTCAACTCTTGTACTTGCTGTTTGGCATGTTGGTGGTATTTGTGCATTATATAATCCATTGTATAACAATCGTAAGTTAATGCTACTCTATTTTTGACTGATACATAAAAATTTTTTATTATTATTTAAGAGGAATTAAAACATGTACTAAATATATGTAAACCTAAAATGATGATATGCTCAAGAATGGGTATTAACTTAGTTCAAAAAGTTTCTAAAGAAATTAATTATCTAAAATATGTATGCCCAATTGAAATTGCTATAAATTTAAAAACTATTCAAGAAAAAAGTTCATTTGTGCCAATTGAGTATGATAATAATCATACTAGTATAATTTTATGTTCGAGTGGAACAACAGGATTACCTAAAGGTGTAGAATTAACTCATCGAAACTTATATTTAATGAACAATATTTTACAGTAAGTAATTTGATATTAAACTAAAAAATTATGCTAAATCTGGTACCTTAAAAATTTATGTCATTACCTCATATTATTATATTTATCTTATTATCTTTTATGTTAAATGATATTTGCTTTAAAAAAAAAAAAAAATTAATGAATAAATTAAATTAAATATTGTAGTTATTTTCTATTAAAAATTTTCTGCTTAAATTTGTTAATAATATTTTATTTACAGATATTTAAATAGCTTTATAGTAAAAACTGATATAATGAATGGCTTGGTTCCTATGTTTCATGGTTATGGATTACTAGTTATGTGTTTAAGCATGGCACTTGGTAGTAAGGTTATTGTTTTTAAATACTTTGAGGAAAACTTATTTTTGAAGTCAATTGATGACCATAAAGTAACTACCTATCAATTTTGATCTATTGTTAATTATTCTAAGTACATTTTTGTTTTAGGCTAAAATTTTAGTTTCAAGTTAAAATTTTTAGCTTGAAAATAAATATTCTGATAGGTTTATTATAAAACTCTTATGATACATTAATTTTTTTTCTTAATATAACTATTTTTTAGATAACAGTTTTGTTTGCTGTTCCCCCACTAATGGTTTATCTTTCAAAAACTCCATTAGTAAACAAGTACAGTTTATCCAGTTTACGAATTATTTATTCAGGAGCTGCTCCATTATCTCATGAAGTTGAACTAGAAGTTATTAAAAAAATAGGCAAAGGTAAACCATTAATAGTTGAACAAGGGTATGGAATGACTGAATTGAGCATACTAGCAACATGCCACGTTCACACTGAAAATTCTCAACATCCAGTGCCCCCGGGCACAATAGGAAATTTGTTGCTAGGAATGTCAGCTAAGGTTCATTTAACTATTAGAACCATTAAGAATAAAAACTCTTAATAGATTATATATTTAGGTAATTGACTTGGAAACAGGCAAAACATTAGGCGCATATAAAAGTGGTGAAATTTGTTTCAAAGGTCCTATGGTAATGAAAGGTTATTATGGTAATCCTAAAGAAACCTCTAATACAATTGATGAAGATGGATGGTTACATACTGGTGATGTTGGTTATTATGACAAAAACTTAAATTTCTTCATTGTTGATAGGATAAAGGAGCTTATTAAGTATAAAGGATATCAGGTAAAAATTATTAGATTGTCTTTTTATAAGTTTAAGAAATTTTGAAAGATATCTCACATTGAACTTAAATTGGTTGGAGACAATTACAAAAATCAGTGGCAGATTGAAATGTTAAAATGTAAAGTGAAAATATTTCAAAATAAAAAAAAATATAATGAACAAACTCAAAATATATAAATGAATAATATTAAATATGGAGGACTGCAGCTGCAGTGATTTATTCATTACTCGAATATTTACCAGTTCCATGAGGCACTGACTCATGTGTTACAACCCAGTATCATAGTCCGCTAGAATGTCCCTTATAAAAATATTGTATAATATTATATTTAATATTTGAAATCAAAAGATTTTGATATTTCAGATTCAATATAAATGTGTTATAACTTAATAAAACATTAAAGGATTAGCATAAAATTTGTGTAGTTAATTTAATTGAAACATCTTACCATATGAGACAATTACTTTTCTTTTTTTTTTTATATATTAAATAACCTAATACTAGTGAAATTTGAACTTAGCAATTATCAATTCAAAAATTTTAAATAATGTTTTAAAAGATCATTTCAACCAATATAAAATCATAATTTTAAAACATATTTTGAATTAAAAAAAAAACATTTCCATGACACTTCGTGACAAATTAATTTTATAAATTATAAAAGCTTTTAATTTTTTATAGGTTGCTCCAGCAGAGTTGGAATCATTGTTATTAACTCATCCCGATATAGAAGACGCAGCAGTAATTGGACTGCCTAACAAAGAAGCTGGTGAATTGCCAATGGCTTTTATTGTTAAAGTTCAGGGTTCCAAACTTAAAGAAAATGATGTTATAAACTTCATGAACAGTTGAGTTATTATAATGTATACATGGTGATCGGTTTATCCTAAACCTTCAATTACTTGCAAAATAAATGCAATGTTGGAGAATAATTTTGGATTACTTTTAATTACATATGTAACATTATGGTTACACTGTGCTTATCAGTATTAAAGAATTACCATATTATTCTGCTTAGTCATAATTGAATAATTTAAACTGTTAACTTATTTGAAATTATTATATAGTATGTATATTTTGTATTGATATTTATATTATCAAATTACAAAATACTGATTTACTATTTCAGGTAAATAAAATGAATAACAAATAATGTTATTAATTAATATTTGTGTTAACAAAAAATCATACTTTTTTAGTCTATATCAGTCGTGTAGCCAACTTCAATTCATATTATACAAGAAACTAAATTTTGCTTATCAGTTTAATAGTATTTAAAAGAAGAAAATATTTCTGTGTCAGTCAAGATCAGATTGGAAAAAAAAATATTTGAAGGTAAATTAAATCTTATTATTTGGATTAATTTAAAGAAACTGATAAAAAAAGAAGTAATTCCTATTAAAAAGAAAGATATAATAGTTGAACAGAATGAGATGATAAAATTATGAATGGATTTGAGATCTCAATTAGTACTTAAAGAAATTTTTTTAACAGATATTGAAAAAAAAACTATTGTTGACAAATTTAGTGGAAAATATTAAAATGCCAAAGAATGGTTAAAAAAATTTAATAAAGAATGTGAAATATTTAATATTATAAATTGAAGTAAGAAAATACAAATTTTAAGATTATTTCTCGAAAAAAGTTCAAAGGAATGGTTTTCAAAGGAAAGGAATTGGCTCTAATTGAATAAAACTTTTAGTAAATAGTTGGTCGGAATAGTCTAATTCATTTATAAAAGTCAATGCTCATAAAAATTAGTCTACTATGTGGTTTTCATTAAATTTAAAATACTTAAATGTCTTTCTAATGGATTATGCATTAAAAAAGGAAAGGTTGGTATTAGAAATGGAGAAATCCATGTCTGTCATATCCAGGATTAATTTAATTGTAGTTGGTATGCTAAATTATATTCAATATAAATTAGATAAAGAAGAGATTTTAAGTACAGATGTATTATTGAATAAAATAAGATTATTCTTTTTAGGCCAACATAAACAAAGACAAGAGGAAAAGTTTAAAACTATACTACAACTTCAAAAAGGAATATTATATATAAGAAATATAATATAATTTGAATAAATCATCTAGAGAGAGAAAACCATATTAAATGTATTAACCATACAAAATTAAAGAATTTTCAGATGTATATTTAATATAAAAATTATAATTTTTCATATGATTTGTATATTTGGCTTGAATGCCATTAAAAATTTTTAACTAATACAAGATAAAAATGAAACATTGGTCAAACAGAATTAGTAAAGTATCAATAAAATAATGAAGATTTTGCACAAGCTAATTAATTGCAATGAATATATTGATGTTTCTAATTTTGATTATCTTACAACATTTAGAAGAATAGAACAATAAAAAAATTAAATAAATCTTTAACAAACATGAATTAGACAATTTAATTAGTTAGACAATTTATGGTAAAATTAATTTCTATTATAAATATATTGAAAATGTAGCGAAACAACTTAAACCGTTAAATAATATTTTCGAAAATAAGTTAAGTTTAACTTAACTAATTAAGTTTTATATAGACAGAGGAGTATAAAAAGCTTTTCAAACATGAAAAAATATCTATGTGCAAGTTCAATTTTATCAATTTATTGTCTGTAGATAGATGCAATATCCACACAGATGCTAGTATAGATGGTTTAGGGACTGCATTTAAATAACCATATTTTTCAAAAAAAACTCAATCTTACTTAGAAAAAGAAAGAACAATTTACTTGGAGCGTTTAGTATTCAAAGAAGCTATTGTATACTGGCCACATTGATTGATTGGAACACAATTTATTGTAGTTTCACATCATAGACCTCTAGAAACATTGAGAGTCAAAGCAAGAGTAGACGAACATCTTGGATACTTGATATATAATCTTTCTCAGTACGACTTCAAAGTTGTATATGCACCTGGCAAAGATAATGCCGAAGCAGGTGCGTTATCAAGAAATCTAGTCATAGAAAACTTTGAAAACAAAGATGATGTATTAAAGGTGATAAATAGTTAATTAAAAAAGAAAATTGGAGATAAAAAATCAATCGAGATGGAAGTTAAAAATTCAAAAATAAATTATGGAAAAAGGAAACATTATGTTTGAAACTCTGAAAAATAGGCAAAAAATAATGGTTTCTCACGAGTTTTGTCTACAATTAATGAACAAAGTTCACAATTATAATGGTCACATTAGTGTTAATCACTTATGTGACCAACTGAAACCATACTATTATTTTAAGAATATGGATAATTTTTTTTGACAAAATTGAATTGAATGTCAAATATGTATAAAAAAAAAAAAATCTAGAATATGCCGACAGATTGGACTACTTTCAAAACTAAGCCCAGCAACTGAACTATAAGATAATATCGATCGATACAGTTAGTTTCGGCGTTAATAAACCATCAAAAAAATATTTATATATCTTAGAAGATAATTTTTCATGATACGCGTTTATTCAAACATCAAATCTCAAAGTACAGAATACATTTTTAAACTAATAGATTATGTAGCAAATAAAAACCAAGTTAAGATGGTTTAGGCAGATCAATATACTGGTATTAATTCAAAAAAAGGTAATAATATTTGAAAGGGAAGAATATCACGCTATTTTTTATGTCTGTTGAGTGTCCAGAGTTAAATGAAAGATTGAATCAGAGAATAGTTAATAGAATACGTTGTAAAATTAACAGTGGAGAAAAAAATGGTCACAAATAGTGGTTGAGTCTGTAGAGGAATACAACAAAACAACCTAACATTACAAAGTTTGCTCCATCATACCTATTATTTGGTATAAAGTAAGAAATAGTGCCGTTTGAATTAAACTACAAAAATAATTGTGTATTAAAATATAGAAAGAACTATTCAATTCTATATAAAACTTTGAAAAAAACAAGAGGAGGGTTGATAAAACTAGGAAAGACTATATATTTAAAGTAAATGATTTAGTTTATATTGAAGACGGAAAAAAAATAGAAAGAAATTAGAAGAAATAAGAAGTTTTTCGTTTAAGATTAAGAAAAATATCAAATACTATGAACAAAATTAAATGTAAGAAAAAGTAGAAAGAAGCAAGTTTTTTCCATACCAGCAAGTTTATTTCATCTTGACAATGCGTTTTATGTACAAGTATATGGGTTTCCTTAAATAGGAATTAAAGTCCTAAAGAGGAGAAGTGTAACATTATGGTTATGCTATGTTTATCAGTATTCAGAAATTGCCATATTATTCTGCTTAGTCATAATTAAATCATTTTAACTATTAATTTGTTTAAAATTATTATATTGTATTAATATTTTATATACTTATTTATAATATTAAACTATAAAATACTGATTAACTATTTAAGGTAAGTAAAATTAATAATAAATAATGTTATTAATTAATATTTGTGTAAATAAAAAATAATACTAGTCTAAATCTAATTCTTAATTTATCAGATAATAATTACTTTTTATAATCATTCCTTATAACTTCAGGGAGTTAACCTGCTTACATAATAAGAAATAAAACTAATTAATAAAATGTCTGGTGTATAACAACTTTTGGACTAGTATTTCAGAAGCAACAATTTAAAGTACTGACTGAATGTGAAAAATGGATGCTGCTATTTTTATCATTAATCACTACCTGGCTTTACTCCTCATCCTGCCTAGGTTTAAAAATAGGAATAATTTCCGAAATGCTGGTTCAAAAGTTGTTATCGATCAGTCATTTTATTGATTTAATTATTTTATATTTTAAGTTAATTTAATCTGTATGAGATATATTAAGAAATATATTTAACTAAAAAAAAATATAATATCAAATAATAAATAAAATGTTAGGTAAATAACAACTTTTGAACATGCAATTTTGAAGTTATTCCAATTTTTACATTTATGGAAGACGAAAAGTACAGTCAGGAAATTACTAGTGATAAGAATAGCAGCACCCACTACTTACCTCCAGTTATTACTTTAAATTGTTAATAACTTCTGAAATTTGAGTGTTTAATGATAAATTGATCACCTGTTTAAACTTGGTGGAATAGATCTAACTGATAAATCATAATAATATAAAATGTTATGTAGATCATAATTAGTCAGTTAAATTATTCCATTCTGTATATATATTTTTTTGCATCGATTATCCTATATAGTCATTATTTAATAATTATTACAATTTTTCAATTAATTAGAATTAGTCTCATCACAAAAGCGTTTGAGAGGAGGTGTTCAATTTGTAGACTCTATTCCAAAAAATCCTAGTGGTAAAATATTACGAAGAAATCTACGAAATCAAATAAACCAATCAAAATTGTAACACAAAAGAAATTATACCTTCATTGTTACTAATCAATTATGTTTTTAAAATTTAAATTAAGCTAAAATAAAGTGTCATGTAAATAATTAAGACTTATTTTTGTCCTGTAAGTTTGATGTCAAATAATTTTTAATAAAAAAAATTTTATTAACACAATATAAATTTTAAGGCTGTTTACAAAAATAAACGATCAAAAATTTGTCATTGAAAAAGTATTTTTATATTTATTACATTAAAATATATATAAATAATTAATTTTACTTCTAAAAACAAAGTTAATGGGTCAATCTTTTTTCATCATGCAAAAAAGATTTTTTTATGTATTTTATTTAAACTAAGGTTAAAACTAATAATTTATGTCTTTATTAATGATACAATTATATTTTCAAAATGTAAATAAATGTTCATGTATTTGTTATACTTCAACATACTATGAGATTTAGTTTTATGAATATATTCTTATTTATAGTGAATTTATGTGTAAAATTAATTTTAGTTTAGAAATAATTCAGTTAAATTTCTAAATATTTTTTTATGACTATCATGGTCATGTGTTATATATATATATGTATGTTAAAAATATAATAGGTAATAACTGGAGCTCGGACATAATTTTTTAAAATTATAAAACGCTCTATAAAGATTAAAAATGACACGTTAAATATTAATAAATTCTCTATAAAAATGCCTTAAAATAAAAAATACTCTTTTAAAGTGTCGCAAGATAAAATAATTGTTAAAGAAATATTATTTTTTTTTATATTGCTTAGATTCATTTTGTATTTTATTTTATAAAAATTATCCTTAATTATTTTCCTTATAAAATTTCATTTTATAAGGAAAACTGGGTACAATTGAAACATGGTACGATTGATTACAAGTACAAAAAGTTGCGACAGACAAAAAAAACCTATTATAGTAAAATTAATACCTTCTCAGCTTCGCATCGAAGTTAAAATTTGAAAAAAATATAATAATTTGTAATATTATATAATAAAAGATATCTTATAATTTGGATGATACAATTTTTATTTTACAAGTAACACAACAAAAGGTAAATATGACATCGAAAAAAAACACAAGTTTACTTTTATTATTCAACAACAGAGATTTTTGTCATTTAATAAATTTATATACATGTTAAATCATTTAGAATGTTTCAGTTTTGTTTGCTATGAAAGCTTTATCTAGTAATAATTTTTTTTAATGCTTGATATAACTGAATCAAATAAAATTTAATGGGGATAAATGTAATAGTTGATTGTAGGACAATTGTAATATTAAATTTTGATTGAAATTTTATTAATATACCTACTTATTGTATAATAGTTATGCCCAGCAATTGTTACAGATAGTATGTTAAACATTACATGTAATGATAATAAACCATTTAGTATAAATACAAAAAGTGCTGAATAGGAACCATTTAGGAAGATATCTCCTGAAATGGTTGACCTTATCACAAAGCACAACTACTTAAAAAATGACAAAACGTGGCAGAAAGAGAGGGAAGATTACAAAACTACTAAATAATACACCCGAAAAATTGAACTAAGAATAAATTCAAACAAAATAATGAAAATATTAAAAGAAAACAATTCAATACAGAAGTTAGAAATAAAAAACAAAAAAAGACTTTAGTTAAGGAGGTTGTTTCATGAATAATTTGTGCTGAATTGTATTCTAAAAATAAGAGTAGAGAATCATGGATTCAAAGCCAAAAATTTTAATTGTGGTCACACGAAGTTTGTACCTCACAAAATTTGACAGCTTTCTATATACATGAAACTGTGATGATTAGAATAATTAATTATAATAAAATATTTTTTAAGTTAAAAGTACCTGTGCTTAAAATATTGTCAATAATGCTATGATTTTTATTATTTAATTCATTAAAAAGGTTTAAACAATTAAATAATCTATAAGTAATTAAAAAACCCTGTGCTACATTTGTACCCGGCCTTGTTACAATTGTCCCCTACTTTGGGTAACATTGTAACACTTGGTCTTTTTTTTTCATTTATTCAACAATTTGTAAAAAGTAAAGATCAAAATTCATAAAATTATAATGGGAACATATTACACAATATATTAAAAATGTAGTCAAACAAAAAAAGTAAGAATCCCAATGGAAATAAATAATTTCATAAAAATTGTTACAATTGTACCCAGTTTCCCTTATACTATTTAATTTTATTCCTTTTTTTTCTGTTTCATGTGCATCCTTAAACCACTTACGAGAAACTAACTGTAAAGTATTTTCTCTCTAGATAATACTTAATCCTAAAATTCATAATTTTTTTTTATTCAAATAAGGCTGTTTTTAAGCTTGTTAGAAGGCTTAAAATTTATTATTTATTGTTTATATTCATATTATAAATTGTATTAATCAGTAACCACTAGGGTTCTTTCAGACTTCGGGAAGCAAACTATAACACCTTCAAACAACAATAAGACTTTTACTAAACAATTGAAATTTTTTTTATAAAAAAAATACTCTACTCGTTACAATTTAACTGCCACACAGGCACTAACTAACGTTTCGATTACATTATAATCCGCTACCAGCTCAGATCATTATGATCACCAGTGTTGTGATCACTTTTGATATAAAAATGTAATGTATTTGTATACATTTGACTAAGTAATTAGTTCTAATTGTACACCTCTAGACAGGGGCGCCGATGTCAAATTTTATATGCATTGCATAGTAAACAAATATTTCCTGGGACAACACTACTTCCAAATTTTTAAGACCTTTTGTGTACATTACTTATTATTTAGGTACACCAAAATAATAAGTTATAAATAATGGTGTTTATAAATAAGATTATTTATGAATAGTTCTATAGAGATATCTCGTTATCCCAACAAACGTCTCTCTAAACATACTGTAGAACTCCCATATTTTACGTATATTGTGACCGCAACATATATATCTGCTACATTGTTATTTGAAAACGTCTACAGTCATTTTTCTCATTACAATCGAATAACTATTTATAAAAATTATTCACGTATAATCGTGCGAATGTTTTATGTATTAACTATCTACTAAAATGTAAATAATATTGAGAATTGTGTTATTGGTTTCCTTCAGTTTCATATTTTTCTCAATTAACCAATTATGTAATAATTTTTATTTCTGAGATTAATATTTTAATGCTAAGTAATGAGGAGGAAAATAGCTAAGAAATATCTGGTAATAAAAATAACAAAATCCATACCTCACCCCTCAGTTTTTACTTTGTCGTTAATAATTTTCGAAATACCGACCGAAAAGTTGCTACCGACCAGTGGTTTTTTTAGTTAGATTTTGATACATCAAACAAGCTATTTAAATATGTATGTCCCCATTTAAATAAAAATTAAGTTGATACTTTTATAAAAAATAAGAGATGAATATAAAAATTGTTTTAATAATCGATAAATCGAGAAAACTATGAAACTTAGGAATACCAAAAATAAAATTCTCAATATCATTTTTATTTTTCAATTAATCGAGTGATCAATAATAAAAGAATCACTCGGTATAGACACTACAGTAAATTGTATGCTACATGCGGTTTCTATGCGTTGGTGTTTGCATCGCGTGATAAACCCTCAAGTTGACTGTGTGGAAGTACAATAATATGTTGAATTATTTATATTCAATATAATGTATTGGAAACTAACTAAGCACAGCCCAGAGGGTTAAATAAGCATGACGGTCAAGTTGTTCGACCATCAGTAGTAGACGAGTGCCGACGGCCAAACGGTCGCGGTCTCCGGCTTCTCGTTACGTCGGTAATGCAAACGTTTGAATCGGCTGCGAAAAACTCACTGACAGCGGCTAACAGCGACGAAACAGACAATAACAAGCCGCTACGTCGCCGTTGGCCGCCCGAACAAACAAAGACTAACGGAAATCAAACGAAGCAGCATCCCGAGGAACAAGAGCAAAGCAATCACCAACGTACTGATAAAACGTCACAATGCGAAAATGACATGCCAGAAGTTACCAACGGCACTGCTAATCTTCCAATTAAACACTTACCATCGTCACAGTTTTCTCAAGACCATGTAAGTAAATTCAATCCATTGATATGTCTATAAATCAATAGTTATTGAATTTAAAATATTCATTTCAAATTCACTAATTTTAAATTAATTATTTTGGAAATTGTAAAGATAATTTTATTAAAAAATTGATCGCTTTTATTTTATTATTATCAGTATATGTAATATCTGTTCATATTTTATGAAGGCAAATTGGAATCTTTATTTATATTTGACATCCTAGTAATACCATAAAAAGACTATCAGGCTATATAAATTAGAAATGTTAGTCATTGTTTTTATTACATAAGCTGTTGCAGTAATTTGGAATTAAATTTCGATGAGCTCTGAAAGTCATTGATAAGCCATAACTATAAATTTTAGTACTATTAATAGTTAGCTCTGCTTTTTCCTTTGTATTTTCTAATAGAGAATTTTTTTGACAATTAGATGCCATTGTCAAATATTTTACAAGATCCTAATTATATTGTAATATGTATATATTAAATTGTATCTCCATTATGTTATCAACATTAAAAATTTCAATATAACTACTCTGATATTAATAAATTGTTTAGTGATATTAAATAAATGATTACAATAAAAACATGATATATTAAAACCGCAGGATCAAAGGTGCAATCTGGAGGTCAACAAAGGGCTTAGCCATCCTAGTTTTGTTGTAACCTCTCAAAATAAATTTGTCTATAAAAATAACATTTATAATTTATATAAAAAAATTAATAAATGAGAAGAAAAATTAAATTAGATCCTCTAACAATTTTGTTCAAATTGCGTCTATGTGCAGGCAGAATGATAAAAATATACCATATACTTTAATTTTAAACTAAGGTTATAATATTAATATAATAATAATAATACTGTTTTTTAAATATACTTTTAACAAAAAGGAAAAAGAGTTCTTTTTTATAAAAAGAATTGCAAACATATACAAAATTGTTGTTACATATCGGTCAAACTAATATAGACTACTAAAATATAGACCATATTTTATTGATTTTATCATTATCTACAGCACGAGTGAAATATCCAAATATATAATTTATATTATAAAATTAAATCGTTTATTTATCTTTAAACTATACGTTGTAATAAAGAAACAGTGATACGATTTGAAAAACATTTTTGATATTATTGTAGATTATCAATTTACTCCAATTTTTTTTTTTTAAATGAATAACTAAATATTATAAATTTTTTTTTGTACAGTTATTTTTAAAATATGTAGTCGCATTTACTCAATATTAATATTAAATATCTCTTATTCATATCGAATATCTGTCCCATAAAAGTTACGCCCAGACAGTAGAAATCAAATGAGAGGGGAATAGGGAGATAAATCCCCCATAACATACTCTTTGTGACATATTTGTACAGTTTTACTTATATCAGGTTTGTTCAGAAAATAACGAGAATTTTCGTTTTTAGAAGAAAATTTTTATTTTTTCGTCTACATTAATATTTTTGCCTTCAAAAAAGCCACATTAGATATTATGTACTTGTGGCAACGCTTCTTCCTTGAAACACTTCTCAAACTCGATATTTTGGATAACCTTCAGCTCATTCAGCGATGCACTTTTAATGTCATCTATGATTGAAAAACAACGGGCTTTTAGGGTTCTCTATATTTTTGGAAATAGAAAAGTCACACAGAACCATGTCTGGCGAATATGGAGGCTGGGGCAACGTTACAGTATTGTTTTTGGACAAAAATTTACGAACAAACAATGAAGTGTGAGCAAGTTCATTATGGTGGTGCAAAAGCCACAAATTGTTTTGCCACGAATCCTGGCTTTTTTTCGAATTACTACACGCAAACGGCGTTAACTTGTAGTTAGTACTCCTAATTGACCGTTTGATCTTGTGGCAAGAATTTATGATGCACTAAGCCATTAAAATCGAAGAACACAGTAATTATAACCTTCAAGTTCGATCGCACTTGTCAGGCCTTCTTCGGTTTTGCCGATCCAGAATGTCTTCACTGAGACGATTGAGCCTTAGTTTTAACGTCGTATACATAAACCCATGGTTCGTCACCTGTTATAACACGTTTGAGTAACTCTGCATCGTCGTTGACTTCATCAACTCCTGATCAACTTCCATTCGCTACTTTTATTATTAAGAATTCAACAATTTGGAACAAATTTTGCTGCTACGCGTTTCCAAAAACATTTCATGGTATAAGTCAATCAATATTCTAACATCATCAGCGACTTCAATGATTGAGATTCGCCGATCGTTCATAACTATTTCTTTCACATTTTTCACATTTTCGTCGGATGTTGATGTGCTAGGGTTCCGGGGCATTCTTCCTCTTCAACGTTTTCATGGCTATCTTGGAAACACTTATACCACTCATAAATCCTTGTTTTACTCATGGCAGACTCACCAATGATTAATTTAACAAATTTTGTAGATAAAATTTGAAGTCGTAATTATTATTTATGCGTAGCTAAATACAACAAGGTACTATTTTAATTAAATATACAAATAAAAAACTCTGGAGTATGGAAGCACAACTCCCATGATGATTATTTATTATACACGTTTATCATCCCCTACCACGACAAAATCATTTGACCACCACCATGCTCAAAACAACTCTCACTTCAATTAAAAAATAAAAATAAAATTTATTGTTTATTATTTAATGACATACTAAAACTTAAGTAAAAATTAAATGTTAAAGAATATTTTAAGTTCTTTAGATTTTATAAGGAAAAAATACGGACGTTTACCTTAATAAAAATTATGTTTATTACCACCAAAGTATTCTTGCGAACTTTCCCGAAAGCTCTTTAATTTATTTTCATGAAAAGTTCATTTTTTATATATTTTTGCATAATAGTCTCACTGCAAAATAACGAATGGATTTAATAAAACACAATACGATGACGATTCAGTTGATTTTGTCTTGGCTTATAACAGAAGGAGAGATTCAACAAATAACTTGAAGAAATTTGATGATGAAGCAGAGCGTCAGAAGTTTTATCATCAATTACAAATTTATGGCATTTTGATTAAAATAGATGAAGATCCAACGGTTAGTATATTGAGACCATAAAGTACCCAGAAAATAAAAATGTATGGAATCATCTTCTAACCTGTAACTCTTAATATTTTTACAGAATTCATTAGATGCAGGTCGAACGTGCTATGCTCTATTACGACTATCTAAACGATTATTAAATCATAATTGGTGTTGGAGTTGTAAGTGCCAGAGTGATACTATTAGTACCGATAGTGATGACAAAAATGAACGACAAGTAAGCCAAGATAGTATCAATTATATTTAATAACAGTTATAAAATTATATTAGTACATTTTTTTAAAGTCTTTACTAAATATATTTTATACCATTGAAATTTAAATACATTTTTAGTCAATATTACCGAGTAATTAATTTTTTATTTAAGAATAACAATGTTGACATAACTTTGACATCGGCCCAAAGAGCCCAAATTGTGTGGCGATTTATTCTTCAGATAAATTCGTGTACAAACAAAAAATCCAAAGACAACGTCATGAGCTTAGATCAACTCTTAGAAGCTGGTATCATTACTGCTGCTTATCCTGTACACGATGGTGATATAAAATCAGATAATAATGGTCGGACTAATGATAGACAAGTGAGTCGTAGTTTTAGATGTTATTATTATTTACACACAATAGTTAAGCTCAATATTACATAATAATGTATAACTTCAGCCTCAGTAGATACCTTCAATATATTATAAAATTATTATTGTAAGATTTTAATTTTAATAGATTCTCTATGAACAATGGGCTAGACCAGGATTGATTTTATCTCAAAATTGGAAAGGAGATTTTCGTATAAATACACTCATTCGAAAGTATTATGGCACACCAGTAGCCGTATATTTTCGTTGGCTCAGATTCTACACAGTATGGCTCGTGGGCCCAGCAATAGCCGGACTAGTTTGGTTTCTATATGGTCTTCTAACAACACAAAATGATCCTCCCACGTTAGTTTTGAATTTCACGATATAAGATGCTAGTGGAATTTTAATTAAATTAATACTAATGAATTTTATTTTATAACAGTCGAGATATTTGCAACCAACATTCTGAAGTGGCCGATTGGATCTTATGTCCCACTAGAAAATGCGATTCTAACTACTGTGGGTTTTCTCGAGTACTGGATACTTGTGGTTTGTACAGGTGGACATCAGCTGCGACTTTTGATCGTCCAGGAGCTGTTGTATTTACCATTTTTATGTCTTTTTGGGGTGAGTTGTTGTGTTATATAACAGCATATTTTTTTTTTTTGACAATACTTAAAAGCCAATTGGATTTTTCATGATAGCCACAGTGTTCCAACAACTATGGACCGTTTATGGTTGTCATTTCAATAAAAATGATAGTGATACATTATCCTGTATGAAGTGTATCCCACAATCATCCCAGTTGCTGTCAAAATCAAAAGATGGTAATCTCCCAACTCAATTTCAGAAGTCAAATTCATTTGTTAGAAGTAATACCGATTTCAATGCAAAATCTGATCCAGGAAGTCCAGTGCATACCAAACCGATTATTTTTACGCGCTTAACCAGACTATATACCAATAGTTTGCCAATGCTTGTCCGCGCTGCAGTTTTTGCATGGACACTAATTTTGGCTGCCGCTATTCCTATTCTAATTGTTGTCTACCGAGGCCGTGCTATAGGTTTCCTCATGTCGGTCGTATTTCGCCAAGATGAAGAAAAATTATACCGACCTGAGCAAAGACATCATAGCTTTTTCCTACTGAACTACACATCAAGTGGTGAATTGAACAATTGGAGAACAGTTGTGGCTACACTATGTGCTGCTTTTGTTCAGCTAGCTGCAATCGTAGCAGTTCATCGAGCTTATAGTGCAGTAGCTGAATGGTTGACTAAGTTCAGCTATCATTCAGTATATGACTCACGCTTCCAAAGTCTTTACACAGCGTTTATGTCTTGTTTTGACTCAGCCAATTATTATTCCAGTTTAGTGTACATAGCTTTTTTCAAGGTAATTTCTCAAAACTAAACACATGTGTTATTAAGTATTTGGTTTATTACATATTATTATATATCATTACAGGGGCGATTCGCCACTAATCGAAATCGACATTCAGAAACTACTGTGACATTTTCTAGTTTTTGGCCAATAACTATACTTCAAAAATTAATACATCATGTCAGGGAAGACGTTTGTGACCCTGCGGCGGCGGGCACAGGCTGTGTTCCGGAGTTATGTATTCAGTTGGCAATTATAATGATTGGCAAGCAAATAATAGACAACATAATCGAGCTATCTATGCCGTTAGAACATTACATAATTATAAAGAAAACGAATTTAAAAATTATATTCTTTTTTAGGCTTAGTCTAAATTTATGGCGTCGATGGCGTGCTAACATGAATCGACGTAAAGTCCTAAAGAAGAAGTTGTCTAATGCTACAACTTCAAATATTGTTTCTCCTAAACAATGGCAGTTAGATTACCATTTGGAGGATAGTGGGCCTTTAGGCTTATACCAAGAATATTCAGAAATGGGTGAGTTTAAAATATGAAGTAAAAATTAACCAATTTTACTAAAAAATATTGAAAGTATGTGAATAAAAAATTGTACAATTTGATATTTTATGATTACAAATAACTTAAATTGTAGGCATATGTAATTTTTTTTGTTTTAATTTATATTTAAAAGGTAAAAAAAAATGTTGAATTTAATTTCATACAGGTACTTGTAAATGTTTAAGAAGTATGAATAGAGAATATTGAGTAAGAAAATATAACCTAAATAGCCAAAATAGTAGCTTTCCGTAAGAATTCTGTTAAAAAAGAAAAACATTATTAATTATTTAATCAATTAATTATTAATTAATATTATATATACATATTCATTTATTTTCGGTGGACTATGTATAAAATAATACGAGGAAACTCTACCTAACTATTTGATTTTTTATTGGAATAGTTCAATAACTCTTGAAAAGTAAAAAAAAAAATTGTACAGTTCCTCGTTTTTGAGACTATTCTATTAAAAAGTTATTTTAACTAGTAACTCTATTAAAACCAATTATTAATATTTCTTTTATAGTCATCCAGTATGGTTTTGTAGTTATGTTTACTACATCTTTTCCATTAGCTCCTTTGTGTGCCTTACTAAACAATATTTTGGAACAACGATTAGACGCCTATAAAATGATAGTAGCTCAACGACGACCTGTACCAGCTTACTACTGCACCGGATCCGGTAAACATCGAAATGGTGATTCTTGTTGTGACAACTGCGTAAAATTAGGAGCTTGGACAGTGGTATTGAAAATATTGTCTGATATCGCCGTAGTTTATAATGTAAGTGGTTGGATAACATGCTTGTATTAAATAAATCATCTAAGAATATATAGAAGAGAAGTCGTATAGGCAATTAAGATATAGGAAAAAATTAGAATGTATACTCTTATGAATTACGAAACAGTGTATACGTACTAAACCATTTTGTAATTTATCATTCAAATCAGTGGCGGACCAAGCTTTTGCGAAATAAACTACTTTAATAACTATTTTTTTCTGATGGGGAGAGGGGAGATGATACTGACCACATCTACTACAATAAGTATAAGTATATAAACACTTTTTAAAATAATTTATTCATTTACAAAATTAATTACAATTTTATAACATTGTAATGCGTGCTTTCAATTCAAAAAACAAAATTTGGAAAGTTCAATAACATTACGATTTCTGAACCGCGGGGCCTTTACAGTCCCCTCAAACCATTCCTGGTTAGAATTAAACATAAAAATTACAAAGAATGTGGTTGAAAATTACTTTTACCTAATTGATAACTTAAAATAACTTTTAACAAATTTTCTATAATATAACTTCTTAACTCGAGATTTGTCCTATTTTATTTTGATTAATCTGATATTATCTTCATTGTAATTTTTTTTTATTCTATTTCACTCGTGATTATAGTAATATTTTCTTTTTTTAATAAGTAAAAAGCGACCAAAAAGTTTATTAGCTTATACACAGATGCTCCAATTCCGTACTACTTCCTTTCTAAGTTGCAATTGCTACAACCATTAAATTCAAAATAAGATAGAAATTAAAAAAATATTGTGTTAGATAGATAGTTTTTCTTTTAAATCGATAATGTTTGTCGTTCTAAAATGATAAAATAATAAACTTATATACGAGTCCAGCTAGAGTTGAATGATGATGTTCTTACACCGTTAACACAGTAAGTGTTGAGTAGGCTTGTGTACATAACTAGTTACTGCTTTATCAATTATGTGTATACCTATTTGAAAGCTTAACATTTTTAAATTATATTATTTTGTTTTTAATATTTTTACGTTTAAATACTTGTTTTTTACTAATCAGTAATTATCTCATAAAAGAGATGATAGAAAAAATCGAATTGCAAATTTGAAATCGGTACAAAAATATGTTTAGAGGAATAAATTTATTTATAAGTAGCAAACAATGTTTTTTTGAACTTCTCCTTAAAAATGACTAAATTATGTTATTTGGCTTTTGGTATAATCCAACAGTTCCTTCTCAAAATTAATAAACACTATTTACAGATTTCCATTGAAGCATTTCTTATAATAATGATTTTTATCATTGCCAGATATCATTTATACTTATCCTATCGATGCCACGTCCACACTGTACAGCCATGTTACCGTTCTTTTAAACAAAATTAAGNAGTTGCAATCGTAAGTCATTAGTTTTTACTATAGACATTGATGTTTAGAATACTTTGAAAAAATGATTTAAATCAATGAGTATTGCGTAAAAATTTGAATAGTGTTAATGAATTATTCATGTTGAGAGAAAGTTTTTAATTTTATTTGCTAGTAATTAAATATGGAATTCAAAATGATTTTTTAACGCTTGCCACTCGATTTCTTTTAAAATAATCAGTTTTTTAAATTATTTTATTTTTGAATTTTGGTAGTACCTGAATTTTACCGATTGACTATGTAATCTTAATCACGTGACAATTTTTTTTAAAAATAGAATTTCAATATTTTATTTTTCATTCGTTTATAGGCGATTAACCTTTGAGCAGGCGCGTACCTATTTTTAACATTCANTTAACCCTTAAGCAGGCGCGTACCTATTTTTAACGTTCATAGTCGCGTGGGGGTCTATTAGACCCCATTTCTAAAAAAGTATAAAATATGTATAGAAAAGTTCATTTTTTTTAATTCAAAGATNAAAGACATTATTTGTTACCATATGATATATAAATATGGATAAAAATTAAAAAATAAATAAATTACAAAATTATGTGCATTACTCAAAAATTATATTACGAAAAAAAAAAAAACTTAATTTTCAAAATTTCATTAAAAAATTTTGGTTTGCAAAAAAATTATTTTAACTGCAAATTCTTATTTTTAAGACGATAAATAAAAGCTTTTACTATTACAAAATGTATTTTTATTAATTTTTCTTGTATTTCTTTGAGTTCAAACACGGCTTAAATTTATTAGTTTTATGTTTATTTACATTTACANATTTCATTAAAAAATTTTGGTTTGTAAAAAAATTATTTTAACTGCAAAATCTTATTTTTAAGACGGTAAATAAAAGCTTTTACCATTACAAAATGTATTTTTATTAATTTTTCTTGTATTTCTTTGAGCTCAAACACGGCTTATATTTATTAGTTTTATGTGTATTTACATTTATATAATCATTTTTCTTAATTGAATTTTTTTATTATTAATATTACAATACATTTAATTATTATGACACGAGTATATACAATTATTCGTTCATAGTAGCACATCGATTATTGATAATCAATGTGTCCACATTGCGACGGGATGTATTTATTACATGTTTTGTTCGTATTTGTTTCGTATCATCGAGTAGTGGAAATTCTCAATAGATTATTTATTTTAAAACTTAATTGCACAGTCGGTGTGCAGATCCACATAATCCCAATTCCACAATATTATATCGATTATAACATTACATTTACGATAAAACGATATTTTGAAAAATACAAGTTCAAAAAAAAATTATAACGTTACAAGTTGCGTGGGGGTCAATATGACTTATTTCAACTTTGATGGATANATATCGATCATAACATTGCATTTACGATAAAACGATATTTTGAAAAAAATACAAGTCCAAAAAAAAATTATAACGTTCATATCGCGTGGGGGTCAATATGAACCATTTCAACTTTGATGGATATTTTAAGTCATACATTTTTTTTTCAAAGGGATTTATTTATGAAAATCGATTTAATGTTACTATAAAAATCATCTTTTAAATTTATATCTATGTACACCTTTTATGCAATATAATACATCCGTTTTTATTTATGTGGGGGTATGCTAGACCCCCACGCGACTGTTTAAGGGTTAAGAATCGTTTAGAATCGTATATGATGCACTTTCTTATTCAAAGTATATATAGTAAAAATAAATCACGAGTCGAGTAAGCGTCATTTTTTTAACATAAGCCTTATGTTAAAGTGGGTCCCATTCAATATTACCCGGTAAGTAAATAACCACCTGTTCACCCCTGGTAAAATATATAAAATGATCGATACACTATGTTTCACACAATATCTTCAAATAAAGTATATTTTTTTCTGCATATTTCACTACTTATTAAGTATTAAAAGTAAACAAGTATACACTTTATGTAAATAATTTGTAATATACATGTGCAGTACAATATTTAATACATTAGATTTTAAATAAAACCGATAATTGGGTCAGATATAGTAGGCAATAGAATTATCGAATGTAACAAACAAGAAGAAAGAGTTCCCATATGAGTATCATGGTAATAAAAGAAACGACATCATATTAATGAACAAAAGGGTAAGTTGATACGTTAATGATGAGCGGATCTCTGAGAAGAGCATCGTGTCGCAGGGGAGAGAGTCAAAGAGACATCCGGCATCGGTTTTGACTGTGGTAAATCCTATTACACAACGTTATTATAGCTTGTTAAGTATATGAAGGATATACTATACCATACACTGGAAAATATGAATACCTATGATAAAAAAATTACTATTAATTTATAGTTGATAACGTTTTTAACTAATTAAACTATACTTATTAATCGGGGGGGAAATATTTATTAATTAATTAAAAGAACAAGTTTTTTTGTCTTAAAATAAACACAACATATTATTTATTTAACAAATGAAATTTTGTTAAGCATAGGCACAATTTAATGTGGTTTAGAGGTGACTTAATCCCCTCTAATTCTATCACGCCCAAATTATGAAAATTGCATGTAAAAATTTATATAGAAATATTTTTAAGAACGGGAGAAAATTAGATTAGATTCCCCAGCATTTTGTTCAGATTGTGTCTATGTTGTCAAGGCTTTAATATGCTGAGTATGCGAAACTATAGTTATGATAAAATATATCCTGACAGGATGTATTGAGTACGAAAAACTAATTACAATTTATCAAAATTATCAAACTAGACAAATAAATATATTGTACGTTTTTTAAATATTCTTACTTAAAAATTTAATTTCTGTATATTAATAAAGTAAATAATAAAAGGGTAATTAATCAAGTAGTAGGATACCAACATTTTAAAATACGAGTTTATAAAAAAAAACTTAGTCAGCTTTACAATGACATTGATTTTATTCTCTGTAGTTAGGGCCACTCTGGGAGGGGCCTGATAACGGCCCTGGCTGTGACATACATATTTTACAAACTAATTAATATTTGTCCAACGAAATAAACTAATGTTAAGATTTAAAAGTTTTGAAAAAATTCCATTTTCAATATTTTGATAACATAATAATTACTTACTCTATTGTGTACGATACAGCTTTCAGTTTTACTCGACTTACTAACTTTGTATTATTTTTTAGTAGATGAAAACAGTTTTATATTTGAACTAGCGCAACGAAATCATATTAATTGTCCTGTTTTATACATACATGTTAAAAATAAAATCGGAAGAATACTTTAGAATTTGTTTGTCCAGCGGATAAGACACACGAGTTCCGTGTGACAATCAAACTAAGGAGGAAATGCACTTGTAAATATAAAATAAGCATTTATTGTAGGATGTATACTAACCCGAATACATTCGTCTCGGTCGATGGATTTTTTCGACCACATCCTCTGTGACAAAGGTGACCGAAGACGCATCTCATTCTGCTTGTTGTACGGATACAGAGTATACGCGCGATTATTCTCATTATACTATTGTATTACAACGATTTAAAAAATATATAATACAATAGGGCTGTTCGGTCATTTGTGCGTGATGAGTCTTTAAAGTGTAGGTGTACAATTACTAGAAAATAAATACCTAAGCATATACATCTAACGCGTTCAATTGCGTATAAGCTCTTGAACGGAAATGTAATCAGATCGCGGATTTTGTAGTATCACAAAACGCACAACCGAAACAGACTATCTTCGGTTCATCGAACGGAAAGGTTATTATGTACACAAAGCCATTTTTAATTACTCATTATATTTATTTATTTCTTATAATTTTCAATCGTCATTTCATACCGATTGTTATGCACCAGCATAACTTAAGCGGCACATTTCTATTGAATGTGGTCGATTTTTGAACTTTTCTTGAGATTTCAGTTCACACCTGTAAAATGAATTCTAAAATACATTTATGACGCTCGCACGGTTTAAACTCATAATCTATTTGTGTTTATTTTTAATAAAACATGATAACAATGCGCATTGACGATGTGCTTTCACTGGAAAATAGTGGTTCGTATTGTGCTCTCTCGAGAGCTGCGCATCCCGAGAGGTACAATAACAACATTGTTTTCTCCCTTGTATTTGTTGATCTGGTTGTTGGTACGTTCAGTTTCACTGGTTTGAATACATGTGACCTCATGTAAATAATGAAAGTGTAATAATATTTGGCCGTGTACCGTTTATTAAGCCCTTACGCACCAAGTAATCTAAATTGAAAGTCAATCTGAACGTTGGAAAAAATAACATTAAACAGAATAAAATAAGTACCACCCGGTTCACACCGGTTACTCGCACGCGTAATCCCGTCTTTGTGCGGATGAACACCCAGGCAGCAGTGATTGTCACACGTCGAGTGGGTCACTTTTGACCGCGTGCAATCGACCGAGTTGCTTGGGGTAGGAAATAATGATTTTTCTTAGACGGCAGTAATAATATTCAGGTTCAAAATAACAAAATTATGACAACAGTTGATTATCTAGACGTGTTACGCTTAACAGCCGCCGGGTACGCCGTATAGTTTATTGTGCGGCAGATATGCGCTTCAAATACTTCATTGATACAAATATTGGATTAAGTAACGAGAATAGTCTTTCATTTTGAGTGTATAAACTTTTTACTGCACACAACACACACTTGAAATCGATTATGTACATAACACGACGTTAGACATCAGCTCTTCTTACTGCTACCTTTACATAAATGTTTTTTTATGCTGCGGCGGTATTAACAATTTTTAATTAAACCGGCGATATCGCCCAGTTAATACAGTTCGGATATAATAGTTTATTGAACATCATAAAGAAGATCACATTTTCACTAAATGGATTTATAAATGAAACCAATGTATATAGAGACTTTATTTCGAGGACATATAAAACCTCGTTAGTATAACAAATTTTATATCTTTGAAAAACAAACTTGAAATAGATTTTTGGACAAGAACAAACACGATAACGACAACTTTTTCAAGTAGAAATCAATAAAAAGTATTTTTTGTAAATATAATCTCAAGTTTTATGATTTATGGCTTTCATATAAATCTCAAAATGAAATATTGACTCTAATAATGTACTTTAATAGTTAGAGTTAAAATCAATGAAATTGATGCTTGGTTGAAATTTCCTATAACTTTAACACAAAGACGAATCAAATTATTTATCAGGCTTAATATTTACTCAAATATTTATTACACGAAAAATATTCACTTATTGAAAATACGTTAACGAAAAAAATACCATAAACATTTTTTTTTTATAATCGATTGATAATTAAATGTTGTATAGATAAAAGTAGCACAATAGAAAGATTAACTCAGTGTTATTATGTATTGTATTTTAGTTAAGCAATTACTAATTATGTACACGAGTACAAGAAATACAATAATTCTATTATAGACAAAAAGTAATTTGGTTATTTTTTCTATAAAACTAACATTATATATTCAATTTCAATGACCATTTGTACATAAAAGACAAGTTGTCGAGGCAAATTTGTTGTTTGACTTGTAGAATGTAACATAAGCTTTAATTTAACACATGTTTGAAGCTCTGAATATTTCCTAAATATTTTCAAAATTTAATTTGAAAAGGTTTTTCTTTCGTGTACAGGTTTCTTTTTTGAATTTCTCATGTGAACAGATTAAGGTTTTTAAATAAAAAAGTATACTTATTAAAATTTAATATCTAAGGTATTTATAAAAAAAATTGTTAAAAAAGTTATGACAGTGTTAGGTAAATAATTTTTAAAAATTTAACATTTATAAAAATATTAATTTTTGAGGGATTTCCTCCATTTACGGGGAACGAGGGAAAATTTTTCAATATTTGTGGGTAGTATCTTCAACTAGTTACGATTTGTAATCTTTTACATCTTGTTGAAAAAAAGTCAGTCCAGTAAGACCTGATAAAAAGTAGTGACAGATAAAAAAAAATATGTTTATATATATTCATATATAAACACATGTTAAATCAATACCTTTTAAATTTAGGTGTGAGCCCGACAATGTCTGGTGATAAAAACACCCAAAATTCGCCTTCACTCCTTACTATAATATTTACCATGTGTATAACCAAATAATAAATTGGCCGAACCGTTTTATATTTTAAAATATAATAAGTATTTATATATACATAAAATCTAAAGTCGTTTATAAAAATCTCTAAAATTTAATTTTGATATTTACTAAATCATATTTAATAATTTTATTCGCTTTTAGAGATTAAAATATATTTGAAAAAGAATTATACACTTTTTTTAAATATTTATTTAAAGATTTAAATAATAATTATGTAAATTGTGATTAATTATAAAACATTTATATAGAATAAAATTGATTTCATTACATGTTTAATTAAATTATATTTGTATTGACATTGGAAGTTCTCCATCTGATGCTTTAAATTCCAAATCTAAATTAAAAAAAAAAAATAGTCATTCAATTGATATTTAAATTAATATATTTTTATTTTAAATACCTAATTCAATTTGGTTATCTAATCTTTCTATATAAGTTTCTTCGGTAATTGGATCAAATTTAAATCCTAGTTGAAAATACTTGTCTTTAATTACTGTTTCGATGTAATTTTTAATTTTTCTTCTTAAAAAATTAAAAGAGATCATTTTTACGTCTTGGTTAATAATGATTTTATATTCTTCATGCCATCCTTTCCATAAATAATGCATATTATAGGGTACAAATTCACAATGGGAAATAACACTACTTTTTATGTCATCTATTATACTTTTAGAAAATGAGTGTACAGTATTTAATGTCCAATAGTATGTCGTTATATCATCACGCGAAATTGTTTGTATGTTTAATTCGTCATGAATATTTTCGATTTTTTTTAATATAAAACTTATCATGAAGTAGTTCCGAAAAAGAAAATTCAATGGTTTACTATGTAATGAATCCAAAGCATCAATGGCTCCTTTCATTAATGTTGCCATTGGAACAATTAACATGGATATTATGTTTATGAGTCCTTCTGTGCAAATATATCCATTTATAAAGTCATTTTCATTTAATTTTTTCCAACAACTTTTATAGACGTTTCTAATAACTGAAAAAAAAATATTACATATAACTTTTACGTATGTGCATCCAAGATATAAAGTCAAACTTCGTACTTTTTTATCATATTGATGGGAACTTTTAGGTTTTTCAATTAAAGTTTGATGATAATATGTATGAGTGGAGAATTTGATAGAGTTTACATCGTTTAAATTTTTCCATCCTGAATACATTAGTAACGTATCTACTTTTTTTCTATGATCCGAATGTGCTGTTGTATACAAAAATATAGAAAATAATAAAAAACAAAAATTGATAAGATTTAATGAAAACATTAGAAAAAAATGAATATTAATTATTACTGAAATTTTTTGATCAAAATATAATTCGACGAAGTGCCAAAAAAACTGCATTTATTATGTTCTTCATTTATAAATAGTAAGGTAAAAATTTATGTTAAAACATCTGTCGTATTATAATAATATTCTTTAATTTTTTTATTTTTAAAGTTATTGAACTTATTAAATATTTACCGACAAATATTCAATATGAAATTTATTATTTTCTAATATTAACTAACAACATAAANGAACTTATTAAATATTTACCGACAAATATTCAATATGAAATTTATTATTTTCTTATATTAACTAACAACATAAATAATATATTTAAAACAATTTAAAGAAATTAAAACTCTATGATATTTTCACAATTTAAAATTAATGTTTAAACGTATTCATATGGTATACTTGATATTTATTTATAAATTAATTAAAATAAATAAGTAACTATTTCATTCACACTAGAAAAATCTATTCGTAAGAAAATCCTCAATATCTTTAGCGTGTTATTACTTTTAAATACAATAAATTATTTATTCTGTAATAAAAATATCCGAGATTGGGAAAATTATTTGAAAATAAAGTAACACAATGTAATAACTAAAATAAAATTACACGATTTGTTATATTTAAGGTATAATGTAAAATGAAGTACGCACAAAAAATAAGGCATTCTGTATGTAGCTACAAGAGGGAAATCATAGTATCATGTTGTTTTAAGATATTTTCACAATTTTGATAGAATTTACTTATTATAAGTAAAATATTTTTTTAAACATTTTCTTACGTACGCCCGAGATATATTATCCAAGTTCTTTAGGATCACATTTATCTCTATGTAATAGTATTTCAATTAAATTTTTTGTTAACAAAACTATTATAAAATAAAGGGTTTCTTATGACTTAATAAGAACTAAATAGTACTTTTAGAAAAATTAAGAGAAATGATGACCAATTTATCTTAGTAACAAATATCTAAATATTTGTTGTTCAAAATTACATCAAAACACACTATAAATTAATTTTTAATCACGACTAATATTAATGTTAGCAGACGTGGTTAGTAATAGTGGGTAATAATGTGTACTACAAGTAGCTTTTAAGCTAAGGATGTATGGGCTGGTTTTGAGAAATACCTAATTCATCAACTTACCCCTTATATCTTTAATCTATTTAGATATGTGAGCGCTGAGTATTTATTTTAATTGAAATTTCAAAATAAATCTTATAACTTATTTATATCAGTTTCAACATCAATGATACAGTAAGAATATTAATAACCAACCCTTTTATTTTTTTTGTTTTTTGAATAAAAAATGTATTCCAATTTAAATTTTATAGCTAGTAAGTTAATTGAATTAATGAATTTCTTTAGCATTTTAATAGGTTGATAGTTTAAGATATTTAAATTAAAATGAAATCGAATTTAAAATCTTAATCAAACCAAAAATTTGATCATTAAAGTTTGAAAACCGAAATTAACTGATTTTTTCTGTTAATTTAGGTTTTTAAATCCAAATTTTAAGTTTAATTGAGATTTTAAAAGGTCTCTCATAATATTCTTGGGTTCAGTAATTATTTTTTTAACATTTACTAAAAAAAATTTTACATATAATTACTAGATATAAGGAAAATTACCAATAATCAAAATTTTTCAGCTCTTAGCATTGATTTTTTTACATAACTAAAATTGAAAGTTTTTTTTTCAATTTTTGAAGGCAATATCTTCAATTATATCAAATTCGGATTCTTTTAATTTATTTATCAGCAAAATTGATAATTTTTATAGACACACAAAAAATACGCACATAATGGTAAATATAATATCTTCTCAGATTAGCATCGAGGCCAAAAAAAGTCAATAAACATGGTTATATCGCCATTGGGTTTAATTAACGTCGTTTGATTGAATAACTAGATGGGGAATCCTATTTTACTACAAAAAGAAATTTTTGTTACTTCAAATTTGTGTATAACCTGTTATAAACTATTATTAACCAAAGCTGAATGCCTTAACGAAACCAAAATTATTAAAAAAATAACCAACATTTTAAGAGTAAATCATAAAATTATTTTGGATCTGTGTATTGAGTGAGACAAACTATGTTGTAATGTATGTCTCAGTGTTAAGCGGTTAACAAGAAATTAGAACTGAAAATGAGTGTAGCGGAGATGAAAATACTTAGATGGATGACTGAAGTGATAAGAGAAGATAAAATAAGTAATAAATATCTATCATTTCTATGTGCCCTCTGCTATTATAGTAATATAAAAGAGCTATAATAGCACTTCAAACCTGTTATTTAAATATACAAAAGAGTTAAATCTCTACAAACATTTCCATGCGATGGTGGTGTAATGGTCAGCATAGTTGCCTTCCAAGCAGTTGATCCGGGTTCGATTCCCGGCCATCGCATCTATATTTATTTTTTCGTCATTTGGCGTTTATAAATATACGTATAAATATGCATATGTTTGATTTAAATTATTATGTTTAAAGAAAACATATATAATTATTTTAAATGATTTAATAATTATTTTCGAAAAATTTGTTATTGTTTAATTATATATTATTTAAATTTTTATGGAAACATGCATACATACTTTATTGTGCATTAAACATGATTATGTTTAATAATAATGTTTTTTTAAATTTTTAACAGAAATTTCACAAATTATTTTTTTGACAGTGAATTACTCAAATAAGAAAATAATCAGCACGATTTTCTTCTTTTCATTATATTGTAAGGGAAAGCGAGTTAAAATGATATTGTATTAAAGTTTATAAATATATATATGACCTTAATTATAGAACTTATTATTGTTTATAAAAAAGGCATTAACAATTTTTCCATACATCAATTATACGTTGAGAAAAATATGATAAATATTAATATGATAAATAATAGTTTTACACAAATTTTTTATAAAATTAGTATTTCTTAGGTATCATACTACGTAAAAATTATTTAAAAAGTCAACTATTTAATTATTGACTAAAATTAAATAAAAAAAAAAACGGTAGCACAGTGGGGTCGAGGTATAGTGTGGACGAGGCATAGATGGGACAAGTATAGATGATATCTGACAGTGATTAAAATCACCATCATAAGAAACGCTTCGATGCAAATCTGTAGATAGTGTTTCATTTAGAGAAATTGGTGGATTATTCCAAAAGCAACATCAAATCTTATTTCTTTAATTATATCCTGATTAGTAATACTTTGATTTTAAAACATAATATATGAATAAGTACTAATTATAGTTTTTAAATTTAGTATGAAATTGTGAGGCCAGCTATGATGTATGGTTCATAGTGTTGGGCGGTTGATAAGAAAGTAGAGCAGAGAATAAGTGTAATAGAGATGAGAATGATTAGTTGGATGAGTGGAGTGACTAGGGAAGATAAAATAAGGAACGAGTATATAAGAGTGAGTATAGGTGTAGTGTCAATTGTGGATAAGATGAGAGAAAATAGACTTAGATGGTTTAGTAATGTTATGAGGAGAGAGGAATCGGATGCTCAAAGAATAGTTATAGAAATGAATGTGGAAGGNGAACAGTTATAGAAATGAATGTTGAAGGAAGAAGAGATAGAGGAAGACCAAAAAAGAGATGGAGGGATGCTATCGAATGCGATTTGAGGACAGCTGATGTGAGCGTAGAAGATGTGGGAGATCGTGTCAAGTTGAAGCTTAGGATAAGGGTGGCCGACTCCAAGTAGTTGGGATTAAGGCAAAGAAAAAGAAAAAGATTACCAGAAATTCCGGTGGCAATTGACATAAAATGATTGTTGTTTGGGAATGTACAATTTAGCGTATAGTTGGTTTTAAACAATATAGTGTCAAATCAATTACCTACTCTATTGGTTGTATATTAATATACACTACACTTTAATGATACAATAAATAAATAAACTCACACATACACACATATGCATTTATAACATTGTGTCTAA